AAAACATTAGAAAATGTTTTTGTAAATTAAATATAAATGAATGAAAAATGATCTGAGGACAACAATGACTCTAAAAAGATTATCCACTCTTTCTTTTTTTTCCATAGAGCCTGAAGTGATTAACAGATTGGATTATTATTATACCTGTAACAGTTGGCTTCACTAGTTATAAAATGTTTAAATTTGCTGCATACAGTTCAGATTTATATCACATCTTAAAACAAAAAAAAAAAAAAAAATCTAAATTATCACATGAAGCACATTTCATTCATTCATTCATTTTTTTAAATCTAATTATTTTTTGTGGGGGTGCACTCTAGGTGTCGTTGCCCAGGGGCACCAAAGAGTCTTAATCCGCCACTGCATCTGGGGCAGTATGAGTGTAAATAACGAGACAATTTCATTTTTGGGTGGAGTATCTCTTTAACTTACTATGAAAAGATAGTCATTCGTTGGTATCATTTGATTAAAACAAACAAAAACCAACCAACTTTCGTTGGTTAAATTCCCTGAAATGTTTGGCCCTACGTTTCTTTGAGCATCCTCACCAGCGGGGGACCTGTTTTTGCATTTACATTTAGTGATGGTTGTAGCTTAGAAATTGCTTCACTTTTAATGCTAGCAATAATGATTGTGCTGGAGAGAAGGACGAATCAAAGAACGAGCAAATGCATGAAGGACTGTTCCTGTGCAACTCCTCTTTTGAGATGAAATGGTTCCATGATTTTTTTTCTTTTTAACTGCAACATTTAGCTGTTTTTGCAAATTAATGTAATAGAAAGGTTCAGTCTGAAACCGTTACCATGTGGCATTGCAGGTCTGTAAGGAATCATGCCATTTATCTTCTTGGCATGTCATTCTTTTTAATCATTGGTTTATAGAGACATCTTGATGCATAATTCATCCATTCATTTTCCTTTAAGGTAGAGCAGAACGTCTTTGTCAGCAACTGTTGATTGCTTCACACATTTACTTCCAGTCGGTCGCCGTCGATTTGGCTCGTTCCAGTGCTTTTGGCAGGGAGATAGTTGCATAAATTTGACTGAGCATCTTCCTGGCTATGCGATGGAGCCTTATAATGTAATTGATGAAAACTAATAATAAAGTTGATGAAAAACTGGCCGTGACTCATTGGCTGATGGGACGGGTGAGGTTACGTCAGCCTGTGAGATGTGCAGGACCGACTGCGGGAAGGAGAGGTGAAGTTCGTCCAGGTTAATTGTATAAGGTCTGAGCACGGATGGAGTGAGTTCTGCTGAGCTGAGCACTGAAAGGACTTATTAAAATGGAGTTATTAAAAAAAACTGCAGTTTGGTAGCTGTGAGACTCAGCGGAGGACCAGCGCTACAGCTGAGAGAAAGATGATTGGAGAAAAGTCGGGCATCGGTTTAATTGAATTCGACAAATTCATCCACAAAGTTCGGAGAAATCTTCCAGGGAGAGGAGCTGTTGTTATTTTAAGTTCTCGTCTTAGCAGGAGACACATGCTGTAGAAGGAAGAAGGGAGGGAAAAGAAAGAAAATGAAATGAGATGAAGGACTGGGGGAATGGTATGAAGGAATTAAAGAAAGGAACACTCTAAAAAGAAATTCAGCCAATCTATTACCACCACTTAAATAAATGCATGGTTGCAAGTTAAAAATTCTAAATTATTGATTTAATTAAATCTTTTATGGTGTAAACATTATTTTGATAAATTCTAGTAAAATAAGCTGTTCACTTTGAATGAATAGTTAATCCAAAAATGCAGAATGTAAATGAGTTTGTTTCTTTATCAAAACAGACTTGGAGAAAATTAACATTATATCATTTGCTCTCCAATGGATCCTCTGCAGTGAATGGGTGCCATCAGAAGGAGAGTCCAAACAGCTGAATTAAAAAAATAAATAAAATCACAATCTACGTAATCCACACCACTCCAGTTCATCAATTAAAGTCTTAAGTGAAAAGCTGTGTGTTTGTGATTAACACACATAATGGATTACTTGTGGATTATTGTGATGTTTTTATCAGCTGTTTGGACTGTCATTCTGACGGCACCCATTCACTGCAGAGGGTCCATTGGTGAGCAATTGATGTATTGCTAAATTTCTTAGGAGACAAAGAAAGAAAATGAATTCACTCCACAAATCAAAATCCCGTCATCTCTTCTCCAGAGAAGATGTTATAAATGAAATGGAGTGATCCGGGTGAATGAGGGTGGTGGGTGAGCAGGTGGGATTGATCTACACGGGTCTCAGTGGGCAGCAGCAGACAGTAGGACGGCTTTCCTGACAGCATACAGGTGTTACTCTTAATTGCCTCCCTTTATGCGTGTGGGGTTAATTAAACCAGTTTGGGTGAAAAATAAGACATGAATTTCCTAACAAAGGACATTAGGTTAAACCCTACACATCTCCACAGCAGAAAACGCTGAATGTTTGCCTGTATTAGCTCAGAATTTAGCGTCTCATTTAACTAGCGAGCGCTCATTAGCCCCGCAACAAAGCTAGATTGGATGGTTTGTTCATTTCATTTTTGCTCGCCTCCATTTATGTTCTAAAAACAAAAAGCTTGCATTTTCTAGTCAAGCACATGCTGTTTTCAAATAAATGAGCCATTTTCTTTCTCAGCCTGAGTTTGGTGAAGCTAACGGCTGTGCGTTTGATAGCAACGAGGGACTCGGAATTGACCCAGAGTCGTCAGGTACTGAAAGTCGGCTTATAATAATGACCGCATTGTACAGTCAGTCATTTCTAGGTTACAAAGATTCATAATATTAGCAGCACAGTCAGTGTCTGTGTGTGTACTAGCTTTAATCACCTGTGCCTCATTGTGCGCAGCATACACACCTTAGCTCATTAAAATGATGGATCGAGCCAGAGGGGAAGCTCTCGGTTGCTCCAGATTTGTTCTCGTTTAAAAGGTGTTTAATAGGGGAACACCTGTGGGGAACTGCTCTCGTTTTCTGACAGCAACCAAGACGCCTGGCAGATGCACAGGAGAAGGCATGTGTTTGACATTTTACTTTCTGTATGTCCCAATATTTGTCTGTGGATTTTCAAATGGAGCATGTATATAGTTGTCATGGTGCAGTGGCTCTCTATAAAGGTTGCGCTGCAAACTATACCTTCACAAAATCGACTTGTCGGCGGGTTGCCTACATGACTAATAGGCCTGATATAATGAGGCTGGTTTTGGGTTCTGATCAGACACATTTATTAAGGGACCTTTATTCGTATGTTTCAAAAAATAGATGGGATGCAACAAAATAGGGAACACAGGGCCTCTGTTCAGTGAGAACAATGCTCAATGCAAATACTAAAATTAATCTAACCATGTGTGGTTTTGTATAGTTAGAATAGTAAATAAATAGGCAAATAACAATATTTAGTTTAGTTAGAGAAAATGCTTCTCATATCAACTGTGTACGGTATTTTTTTCACAAATTAGTCTAATATGGCTACAACAAATTATATAGTGTTTTATGGCTAGTATAATATTTTGTAATATTTTATGGCTAATATTAAGTGTTTGTTCTTGGGTGGTAAATCACACATATGCTGTTTATGCATTGTTAATTTTCTTAGTCAATATTTGACTATTAGTTGTTAATATTTTTGTATGTTTTCAGCCCTATGACATTTATTCACTGATGAAGGCAAGTAGGCTGTGTTGTGCTGTGTTGCATAATGAAAAAGTAAAAAATAATAAATGTATTGCAATAGTGAAAACGTTTGATTTTTAAGGACATATTTATTAGCTACTTTTCACTTGATCTCCAGTGTAAAAACCTCAGTCTCAAGACCAGCTAAGAAACACTGCTATTGTCTGATATTTGCTTTTTTTTTTTTTTTTTTTAACTGGAAATTTATACTAGTAGCCTAATATTTAAGTAGTTAAATCCTGATAAAACTACTTTAATTTGTTTTCAGTTTTCTGGGATCTAAGAATGAGTGAGTGCATAGTGTATTTTTGGTAATTACTTAGCATTAGGGCTGTCAAAAAAATGTTAGAATTTCGAATATTCGTCGAATTTAAAATAAAAATCCACATTTGAGTGCAAAAACGTTGCATTCGAATTTTAGGTGTGCGTTACAGAGGCAGCCTTATCAGTGGCGCACGAGATGCGATGACGAAGTAAGTGTCATTGCATTATAATGTTTTTGTTAGCCTATCCAGTTGAAGCCACTAGGTGCGGCGCTGCGGCGTTGTTCATTAAAAATATTGCGGAAAAAGAGAACATCAATGCAGAGAAGATCTTGTTTACATCAAAACTGAAACCAAGCCGTTCACACAGAACACATATTTCGCGCATTTTCTAGAGGGACATCTATCACCGTTGCATTCGCATCTCGCACAAAGGAGCCGCATGTTTAGAAAGCCATGTCAATTTAATGCAAGTTTAACTTTGAAAAAAAAAAACATATATTGAGACTTTATGGCGGGGTTTTTTTTCCCCATCCCACTGCATCTCATGTTTTTAAATGAAAAATGTACTCTGTGTGATTGGCTTTCCGCCCTTTGTCTTAAACTATGCATACATACATGATGCTGTTTTGTTTATAGTTGTTTAAGCAACTTAATTGTAATTGGTTTATAAACATTATTTTAAACATCATGCACTTTTTTTCACAGATAGTCGTTATCTTATGCTTTGAATAAACGTGCATTAGTAATATTTTGCTCGATGCGCCCTCTTGTGGCCTCAGAAGAGAAGCCAAAGGCTATTCTTCACCATAACTGAAATTATGCATTTTAAATTCGAATATAATTGGAATTTTGATCATATTTAAGTACAAAATTTTGACAGTCCTACTTAGCATAGTCATATACTTCTATTTACCATCAGTACTTCAAACAAACCTAATTAAATTACTATTTGGAGTTTTTAGGCACTATATAAAAAGGCAAGAAGGCTCTAATGGATTGCACATTTCAATATATAGGTGCAGTGTCCAATACATAGTACAATACACAGTGCTGTAATGGGATTTTATTTTTTATTATTTATATCTTTAAAGAGAACTAACCACAACTGACTTTCTTGAGGTACAGTTATCCATGTGGTAAGGTTTTTTTTTTTTTTTAGGGTCAGGTTTGTGTCCTAGGTGATGGGTTCAAGTGTCACAAAATGTATCATAGTGAATTAATCACAAAACAAGCAGGTCAGTTTCAGTATTTTGATTTAATTTTTTTTTCTTCATTTTTTATATGCTTTTTTGTTTTAAGAAACAAATGCTTGCAGATGTCAAATGAATTAACACTCACATCCTCACCTCTTTTAGATCGTGACCAACACAGCCAACCCATGAGAGCCGGGTCCTCGGCCAGCCAATCACGAACACCCCAGATTCTCAAACTGACACCCACTTCCTGTTAAGTGCATATGTGAATCGAAAAATGTTTTCTTTTTTAATAACGAAAGTGCACAGGTGGAGCAATACTTTCGTAAACACAACATCCCTGCATTAATTCCTGTATATTTATTTCATTTTTGCAGGATGTCTGGAGCTGGAATGAGAATCTGGAAAAGACACCGAAGGTAAGGATGCAGGGATTCGTTTCCATTCATTCACTCGTTTGTAAACAGCTTATTCTTTTTTCTTTTCTCATAACCCTACATCAACAGGTTTAACAAGGCCTTTTGTCGTACCGTCCGCGCTCCCCTCGCGTAAGACAAAAAGGTTAATCAATAACATGGTTCAACATAAAGTTTAGTGATTGTGCTTTTAAAACCAAAGTCAAACATAGAACAACAAACATCGACAATGACAAAAAAGAATAACAGTGCATTACAAAAAACAAAAACGAACAAACAATAACTCTCAAAATGTGGCACTTTTCCTGGGGCAGTTTAAACACTATGACAATTTACAACCAGGATGGTGGCTATAAAAAAAAATTATATTAACTGGCGTAATTTTAAAATTATTCAAATAAGCCAAGGAAGACAAATTTAATGCACCACAATGGATTATAAAAGACAGTTAGATATGTATACACGTGTATGTACATGTCAGCCAGTCCCTTTGTGCCTGGAGTTTCATTACAGTATCAGCTGACTGACAACCTTCTCGCCAAGGTGAACAAAGCCATAATCGTTTTCAGGAGCTAACGGATGCATCATATTGCATTGGAATCAAAACAAAACTGCTTTAGCCCCTCTCAAATGCACCCTTCGTTTTTTTGTTTTTTGTTTTCTTCTGTCTTTTTTCTTCTTTAAATGCACATTGAAAATTAAGGTAAATAAATGAAGAATGGCTGGTCAGTTTTCCAAACGTGACTCTGGGTCGGTAGTTTTCAGTAAAAGATACCACCGAGATGGTCAAAATGCGCTGAAGATGGTTGCTGAGGAACTTTAGACAGCCATATTTTTTTATATCTTCAGCTCTCCATCATCTGAAAAGAAAAGATTGAAGAATTATAGCAAACATCATACAAGGAAACCATAAATATTTTCCATCCAAAGAGCACAGTATTGTTATTTTACTTGTTATTTCTATACTATTATAGTATTAGTTTTGAATTTGCTTTTATCTTTATATATCCATTTTTCAGTTTTTGTAATTTTATGTGCTTTTGTAATGTTTTAGAATTTTTTGTTATATTTAAATGTATCTTTTTTATTTCAGTTTAAATTTTTTTGTCAAACATTTCCAGTTTTAATTTTTTTGACTAACTTTATTATTATTATTTTTTTTTTCAGTAAGTTGCAAAAGCAACATTTCTAATTTCAATTAAAGTGTTTCCATCTAATTAGATTTTTTTTGTTAATGTTTATTTCAGTTAAATTTTTTGTCATTTAATTACTTGAGCAGAAATGAGAATTGTTGCTTTGGCAACAAACTAAAATAAGATAGTTTAAAATAAGTTTTTCGTATAATATTTATGTTTCAGATTTTATTTAAATCACCAAATGATAATAATAGTTTAAATTAACATTAACAACACTAGTCACAATCACAGTCACAGGTGCTCTGGTTTGTATCTTGTCCAATATATAAATATGGTTGACCAAAGTTTGCTATTGACCAATCAGAATCATGTATTCCTTCCATTTCCGGGTATCTTAGAAGTGAGGACGCACCTCAAGCTCCTCCCCTCCTGTCTGGAAGGCTCCTATGGTGTTTAGCCCAACATCTGCAGGGTTTCTGCGGGCCCCCGGAGCCCCTTCACCTCTCCGCCGTCCACCGGACCCTCGAGAGGACAGTGAACTGGAGGAGCTGGGGTCTCTTTCTCCACGAGGACTGTGGACGGCTGGGAAAGATGGGCGACTGTAAGGTAGGATGTCCTCTGATCCTGAAAGAGACATGAAGATGACAGGTAAGTGACTTGAGCATTATTTACCAGTATTTAACATCAGAAAACAGGACTGTAGTGCAGTACCTGGGTGCTGGCGGCTCTTATGGCTTGCACCGGCATCTTGTTTGCTGCTTTTCCCCGTCCTCTGACCCTTCTGTACATCCTGGCCCTCACGCCGTTCCGAAGAGCTGGTCCGGGTGTCCGAGCCATCCCGGGGTCTGGGTCCGCCCGAACCTGTCCACTTGTCCTTGCCATCAGCAGAACTGGATCTGGGCGACATGGCCCCCCGTGGGCCCTCCGGGATGGTTTTGGCCGGGTGTGTTGGAGACTTCAGCATAGCCGGAGGAGGAATCGGAGGAGGGGGGAGATCTGTGAGAAAACAAAATGAAGAGCATTTATTTTGTGTGAATATTTGATATGTTTGACATTATAGCTTGCCATCCACCTTATTTTTAACATAAGACAGGTGTGACAATTTGTAACTTGAATGTGAAGAGATATTCGCTTCCAGAGACTTTTTTTTTTGTGATAATTTTGGCTGTGTTAATGCAAACAGCATATTTAGCCAGAAATTAATTTAAATTTAAATTTTCTTAATTTAATAGTTAAATTAAAATATATATATCCTACAAAAAATATAAAGAGGGGGGAGATCTGTGAGAAAACAAAATGAAGAGCATTTATTTTGTGTGAATATTTGATATGTTTGACATTATAGCTTGCCATCCACCTTATTTTTAACATAAGACAGGTGTGACAATTTGTAACTTGAATGTGAAGAGATATTCGCTTCCAGAGACTTTTTTTTTGTTGATAATTTTGGCTGTGTTAATGCAAACAGCATATTTAGCCAGAAATTAATTTAAATTTAAATTTTCTTAATTTAATAGTTAAATTAAAATATATATATCCTACAAAAAATATAAATATTTTTAAAATATAAAAAGTTAAATCAAAAATTGTTGAATTAAGGGCTATACTATAAAATATGTCCATATTAAAATCCATAAAAATGGCCATTTTTAATTAATCCCAGTGCCATTTAAGCATAAAATTATGCATTCTTAGGTAAGGCTTTCATTCTGTTGACAAGGCTTCAAAAATATTTACTATTTTTAAAACTGTACTTTTTTTTTCCACCTGATGGCACGACTTTCTCAGGTTTGGCCTATGGAGCAAATACTTTTTTCCTGTTTTCTACTTCAGCTGGGAAAAAAAACAATTGAATAGAAGTTATGTCATTATGATCATGTAGGTTTATTGGTATGGATATCAGAGTGTGGTTTGTATGTGTGTACTGAGAAATGTGTGTTTGTAATCTGACACAAAAATAATGCATCATAAGGTGACATTTTAAGGGTTAAAAAAAGGTTAAAATTTTTCGTAGTTATGATCAGGACCATTGGTTAAAAAAAAAAAGAGTTAGTGAAAGCAGGAAAAAAATACAATTGTTTTGACACCTCGATGTGGCTTTTTTTTTTTAACTGACACGGAAGGGTTAATGCATTGTCGTAATACTAATCGCATTGGTTTGTAGCACAGTTTTACCGCACTTTGTTTTCGTTTTAGTTATTTAGCGGCTAATGAATCAGAAGTCTAGCACATTTACAGAAAATAGCTTACTTCCGCGTTGCAAAATAAGGTGGATATTCACACATGCTAGTGTCCTTCAGAAGCAGACGATCAGCTAATTGACACCAGAACTCATTTGTCTGGCACCCGGAAGGTGCCATGGAAACACAGCTGTGCTGTTGCGTCGCAACCCTCCAAACAGCTGCACGCTGGAGCTCTTTCCCGCCGCTAGCCAGTCGAGAAACTGTGAATGACGGTTCATCACTGTCACTGGATGTCTCCACGCTTCCCGTGCCAGTTATTCAGGGTTGTCATTCTTTTTAGCATCGGCTAAAAAAGTCGTCCGAGCTCTGTGCGTGACGGATCTCGTCACGCACCTGATTCACCTGATTCAATTTCAAATCAACATGCATATAAAATGACATCCCAATAGGCGCCAGAGTCACAAATACACCCGTATTACACAAACATTGCGTCAGTAAGACTAAGTGCTAAAATGGTGCTCGGGTGCTGCGTCAACATTTTTCCCCGTTCAAGGTCAGAGCACACCTGACGTCTTCACCGAGCGCGTGTCTCGTTTTGTCGGGGAGAGCTTAGCACTGCTTCATCACTGCTCTGACACTCAGCAAAATACGAGAAGGGTCAGTGGATGGTGGACGTGGATGGTTTTTATAAGCCCTGTGGTGTCTTGCAGTAGTCAGGCGGCGGATCGATGCCAGGATGAGAGAGACGGGCCGCATTTCACAGGAGCAGAAGAGAGCTGTTAGATTTACGAGAGGGGTGGAAGAGGGAGGGAGGGTTCTCTCTGTGCTTTATACAACAGCTAGCACTGCTGTCCTTATTTGTGTGAGTAGTGCCTGCACTGCCGTGAAATTACTAGTAGTGTAAAACACATCCTTTCTTGCTTAGATGTGGTATGAATGATTGAGGTTTATGTGCTTATGAGTGCTTTTTTGCACTCAAAAGTTTGGTGTCGTTAAGATTTTTTAAAGATATGAATACTTTTGCTCAACAAGAATACATTGAATTGATTAAAAGTGGAAGTAAATACATTTACAATCCAATTACAATTCAAGAGTTGTGTTACAAAATGATGCTCTTTTGAACTTTCTATTCGTCAAAGAATCCTGAACAAAATGCATCAATTTTCACAAAAAATATTAAGCCTCACAACTGTTTTCAACATTGATAATATGAAAAATTCCTTAAGCAAAACATAAAAGCATATTAGAATGATTTCTGAAGGATCATGTGACACTGAAGACTGGAGTAATGATGCTGCAAATTCAGCTTTGCATCACAGGAATAAATTACATTTGGAAATAGATCTTTTAAACTTTAATGCTATTACACAATATTGCAGTTTTTGCTATATTTTTGATCAAATAAATGCAGCCTTGGTGAGCAGAACAGTTAGTTAAAAAAAACCTTCCTAACCCCAGACTTTTGAACAGTAGCTTATGCCTTTGCAAATGCATCAGCTATTTATAAAATTGATGGTTGAAATGATATTATAAAATGATGTTATAAATCAACTCAAACTGCTTTACACATGCCATTCAATGTATTTATTATTTTTTTTTTTTTACTTTTTTTTAATTATTATTTCTTATCACTTTAACATTGTTTTTTTATTTTTATAAATCATTATTTAATTTACTTTTAATTAATTAATTAAATTTGGCATCATTTTAACATTTAGTTTTTTATAATTTTTTCATAAATTATTATAAATTCTCTAATTTGCTTTAAGATTTAATTGATAAATGTTCATATATTTTTATCATTACTAGTAATTGCTTAACATATGCTATTCAAACACGGACATAACACCTATTTCTAAAGTTTTATTTTGCCTGGCTGCAGTGAAAAGAAACAGAACTGGTGTCAACCAACCAGCATTGCCAAGTCTTTGGTTTTCCCGCAGAATTGGGTTACTTTTACACGGTTGTTTTTTTATTCTGCGGGTTACAGCAGTCATCTCCAGTCATGGAAATGTATTCAACTTGCATATATTATTCAGTTACTTTTCAGCTGCTTTACACACTTTCGAACTCATATTTGCTTCAAAACGTTTGATAACCAAAGATATCCTTCAGCATTCCTGCAGAAAACTTTTCTTGAAATCTAAAAACAAACTTCTAATAGAAACTTGCAAAAGGAGGAAACTAAGACAAAGAGAGAGAAGAACGTCTGGAAAAGACTGTCTCTTTTCTCTCCAGACAGAAGTGGAGGCAGATGAAAGGTTAACAGGGCCTTCTGGAGAGGAGTTGGAGGAGGACGAGATAATAAGCCCGGTGTCACCCAAAGCACTGAGCAAACAAGAGCAAAATGAACAGAGGCGGGGGGAGTGCGTGTTTGACGCCTGGTATTTGGGGGGTTGGTAGGCAATCTGTGTTTCAGATCATTTAGTTTTGAGTGTGTTTGTGTGAAGCGCATTCAAACGACAACCTTCTTTTCCATGCGAAACGCTGTATTTAACCCTCCCACACAGCGTAACTCGACGAAGGCCTATCAAAACAAATCACACATTCAACAGAAACTTGAGTCGACACAGACTGATCAATCTGCGTCTCTTCAGCGGCCAACAGCGAACAAAGACGAGAGAGAGAGAGGGAGCGGAGGAGATTAGAAGAGGGGGAGGAAGAGATTACAGTGAAGGACAGATGAGAGGGGCTAGTTGATCTGATAGAGTCGACCAAGGCCTGTGTGTGGCTGATATTAAATCTTAGTGTCAACACACAAGGACAACTGACTCAGTGATGAGACGCAGCAGATGAGACCGTGTGCACAAATACACACTCTCACAAATGCGAGCAGAAATTTTGGATGCGTTTGTGAGCACTCCCTTTTGCAGTTCCACACGCATCACACACCGATAACGTGACCTTTCTGAAGCCTTGGGAGAGCTCTTCAGTGAAGCTTTTGCACCTGCTGCTATTTGATTAGAGACTGAAGCAGAGTGGTCACTTATGACACACTGTAGGTGGACGCCGCCGTCCCACTGAACTGACCTCTCCACCCCCCTCGCTCTTTATGATCCTGTTCTGTGTAGATTAAATGTTTGGAAGATGCTTGTTGTCTTATACTTGTGTGTGGGTAGTTGATGCATAGCATCCATGGACTTTTTAAATCAACTTCAACATTTTAGGTTAAATCAACATTTATATGAATGTATGACCACCATTTTGAATGGATCACAAGGGTTGTGTGAACAATATGTTGATGTGTGAACAAAATGAATCGTTGTAATGAACTGGTCAAAAAGACATCAGTGTCACACAAGTTATCGGTTTGAACTAGTCTAAAAACATTCAGAGCAGCTGTTTACGCACTGAATTATGTTCATAGCATAGTCATAAGAAAAAAAAAAAATTTATATATATATATCCATGGACTTTTTAAATCAACTTCAACATTTTAGGTTAAATCAACATTTATATGAATGTATGACCACCATTTTGAATGGATCACAAGGGTTGTGTGAACAATATGTTGATGTGTGAACAAAATGAATCGTTGTAATGAACTGGTCAAAAAGACATCAGTGTCACACAAGTTATCGGTTTGAACTAGTCTAAAAACATTCAGAGCAGCTGTTTACGCACTGAATTATGTTCATAGCATAGTCATAAGAAAAATTTTTTTTTATATATATATATGTAAATTAGATTATAATATTAAATTAAAAAATAACAAAAAATATAATGTTACCAAAATATAATATATTCATAATATTTGAAAGAAAAAATAAAATAATATAAACAATATAAGTGTAATGTATATTACAAATTTGTAATCATTTTATGATTAAAAAACTATTATTATTATTTTCTTAAAAATATTGTAACATAATCTTGTAACAATGTCAATTATAATATTTATGATTTTTTTTATTTTAATAAATCATTATAAATTGTTAAATTAAGTTGTATATTTATAATTTTAAAAAATAAATTATAATATTTAATATTTTGGTAACATTTTAATGTTTAGTTTTAATTTTTCATAAAATATTATACATAATTTAATTTACTTTTAAATGTATTTTATTTTATAAATGGTTGTTATTATTATTATTATTATTATTATTAATAATAATAAATTAACAAATTATAAAAAATATAATATTTAATATTTTGGTAACATTTTAATTTTACATTTTTCATAAAATATACATCATTTAATTTACTTTTAAATGTATTTTATTTATAAATTGTTATTATTATTAAAAATAATAACATAAATGAATACAAATTATTAAAAAAATATTGTAATTAGTTTTATTTTGAATTTATGTTTTTGTAGTATTTTACATTTTTATATTTTTTTTCTCTTAAAAATGAAAAAAAAAAAAAAAAGTAG